TAAAAGACTTGAAGTGAATAAAAATACATAAAATACCAAAAATTACTAATTGTGCCCCTAAGTGAAAAAACGACTTAAGAAATAATAAACGACATATTCAATGACTAATTTGCTATTCTATTGTTCCTCTTGTAAACTTAAGCTTGTCACTTTTATCTAGATAGTCGAGAGCAGTATTCTAAGCTGCATCAAGAATTGAGACCTATAGCTCATGCGGTCGTTAGTGCCGTTGGTTGGAGTTATTTTGAGATGGTAAGTTTGCATTTTTCCATTTTGCAGTTTGCATATCACAAAGATCACTAGATTAGTGTTAGACTACTAGTCGATTCATGCGTTACTATGTTTTTTTACTGTAACTTTATAGTAAACTACAACTTGCAAGTTATAAATTTATAAGTAACTTCTACACACTATTAGTAGTATTCGTTTAGTAGATTATTAAACTATTAGGAATTTAAGATTATTACAAAGCAATTTACATTATAATTGAATTACTTTAATTCTATAAGTCTAAACTATAGTTCATGCATTTTTCCACATGTGCATACAAAAGAGAAGGAATAAATTTGAGCGAAAGAGGTCCAATGATTTAATCTTTGTCAAGTATAATTAAAGGCTATAGGAGTGTTTTGAGGATCATAAGACGAGGACTCATATTGCATCCATAAACTTGGATATGGTTCAAACCATATCCCTATTGAGGTTTGACTTGGGATATGGTGGAGGAGGCTTCAGGGCAAGCTTCTGAAGTCTGAATCTAGGAGGGCCACTAGATCAATGACCACCACTTCTAGTTCATAGAAGATGAGGGAAATAGAAGGGGAGGAGGAGGAGGAGAGAGGCCAATTCGCAAGAACCTAAGGAGGGACATTATGTTGAAGAGAATGATGATTTTGATGATGATAATCAAGAATTAAATGGAAGTGCCTGGGATGAAGCAAATGATTATGAAGAAGTTGATGCTTGAAGACTAAATTGCTATTAAATTCCTTTTCATCTTTTGTAGCATTTTAGTCTTTGGACTTTCACAATTCCCCCTATATTGTGGTTTGGAGCTTCAAGTTTTGCCATTATGAAAAATGCATAGAAATTAAAGTCCATAAACTATATGGACTTGTGGTTGTGGTCATGTATTTAAGTTATTCAATATTTGGTCTTTATGGATATTTGAGTGTTTTATGGAATCATGGATATCAATTGTTATATCTTTTGATTTACTACAATTTTGAAATGTGATTTAATATTTCAATGTGTTTTACAGCATTTAAGCACACATAAATGCATAAACATAAAAAAAAATATCTATATGAAAGAATGTTTCTTTCAATGTGTTTGGACCGCACATATATGCATATCTATCTGTATGCTTGAAAACATATATGCATACCTATCTTTCTTTAGGTTGTTTGGTAAGTTGTTCATTTCCTAATGCTTTGTTCTTTTTGGCAATGCCTTCATCATCTTCAAGTAACAAGAATCCGGCATGTAGGGAATGGGGGTGGGGCACAGGTGGTTAGGGGGGCAGATGCCTCAACACCACATCCTGCCCTCCATTCCCACCGTTAACATATCAAAAAAGAATCTGGCATGTAAATATGCTACACTCAAGAACCCTAAGAATTGAAATTGCATTATTTGTATTCTATGTGGGAATACTTATATGGGAGGTATTTTCCTGCAAAAGCAACACCTAGCCAATATTACCAGGAATGGTAACACATGCCCACAAGCAACTGATGAGATTGGAAGAGAGATTAGGGCATACATGGATAGAAGAATTCAAGTATTTGATGGCTTGTTTGATTGAGAGTTGAGAGTTGATCATCTTTTTCTTCTTTAAGTCATAAAATTGGACTTTGCCTCTTTGGAGTTTAAAATTAAAAGTTCGGAATTATGGATATTTTATATGAGATATAATGGATTGCATTGTTTTAAATGTTAATCATGTAAGACTTTTAAACTATTAAAGATTAGAAATTAGAACAACAGATATATTACTCTTTATCAGGCAATCAAGGAACTCAAAAGTCTCAAACAACTAATATAGAATAGATATTGAATAACTTAAAGTACTTACTATCACATAAATCACATTTATGTTTTTTTTTTTTTTGCACTATTATATTTATATATTTTCAAATTTTTCAAATTTATTGACCATATTTGAGGTGATATGCCCACATCGCGACCGCATCGGGTCCTCACCCCGCATTTTAAAATATTGTGTTAGGCAATGGCTGTTTTCCCATTTCAAATCTTTTACTTTGCAATGTCCAGGCCTCATGTAAGAATGTTTCTTTAGTTTGCAATGGTCAAATACAGGCTTTGACAAGTGAAGCAAAGCATCACAATATTCGTACGCTCTATGACCAATTATATGGCAGACTATGAATGAATCATTGTAGGATCCCCAATCTAGCTGTTAAAGGCCAAAAGGAGTAATACCATTTATCTTTAGCTTGGAAACACCATGCATCTCAAGCTTACTCATGCAGTAGGAAGTCTAAAACGAGTGAAAACTTCTCTTTCTGGGGAGGAGAGTGTTTTACCCCCTTTGTGGGGCCTTGATGATAACTCTTCCATATCTAGAGTCCTAGGTACTTTGCTTTTTCTTGTTCTTTTTCTTTTTCCTCTTTTTGAGTGTTAACTTGGGACAGGTGGGATTCAAACTCTTGACATCTTGTTGTAGCTCCTCCTACCCTGAACACACTGCCAAGAGTCCTGTTGCCTCAGAGTCCTAGGTACCTCATGTTTGGCCAATCTTCCTGATTCTAAGCATGGTTGCAGTGGCTTGAAAGGAACAGTCTTGTTTGGAAATTCAGGGTCACAAGGTTTTCCCATTTCCTTTGCAAACACACCTTCAATTTTCTTGTTTTTTGTTCTTTGTTGTTTTCAAACATTTCTGGATCTCTTATCCTAATTCTTTTTCCTCTTGATTATTGGAAAATTCGGTTGGTTGAGAATTCTCTTCCTCTGCCAAACCAAGATGATATCCAAAGGAAAAATGATAGTGCTACACAGAAAAGGTTGGCATGACTTACGCATCACAAACGAATGTAGTTTTTTTGTCCTTTATCCTCAAAAACTTTGAAAGACCATTCATGCAATTAATTTATGCACAACTAAATAACTGGAGTAATTCTGAATTCTGTTGATAACATCAACTGATGTTCTTGAACACACTTTCAAAGGTACATGGTACATATCATTTCCGGATGAGGTAGGATACCATTCAAGTATGTAGAAATTTGCAATTGAACAAGAATCACAAGGTTGATATGACAATGGTAAGTACATAGCTAATAGTAAGAAGCTTAGCAAATTTTTAGAGGAGATAAAAAGGAAAATGCACTGATATGTTAACAGAAAAAAAAATGTTAAGATTTCAGATTTCAGCAAAAACCATCAAACCATACCGATAAGCCTCTCAAAAACAGGTCTTCCCGATTACCTTTTGGGTAAGGTGGCAATTCCAAGCCTACTGGCAACACATGAATTCAAGTTTATAAAGTTTATAAACATCTAATATTCATTGATGCTACCTCAACTATAACTTCTGATTACCATCTTGAAGAGTAATTTAACAACTTCAACCCATAAAAATTTATCTTAGTGACACAAGTGTTTAATGTAGGAACATGATTCATGTAGCTGATCCCAAATAATTGGCTTAAGGCTTGGATGATGATGATGATGATGACGAAGCAAGTGTTCAATATATATATATATATATATATATATATATATATTCAAGAACAGGGTCTAGTAAGGAACATCATAACTGTTGGAAGTCCATGTAGACTCAACATCAAGTTCTGTGGTTTGTTATTGATCTTCTCCAACACATGCTTAATGTTCCATAATGTCCTCTTATGAAACAATGCATATCATAATAACATCCATAAAGAGAACTAAGGCTCCAATGTTGCTTCAGTTTTTTGGTAGTATTGATGATCGGAAAATTGTTTCATGCGGGCTGGACCGCATTTCTACATGTGCGGTCCAGAAGTATAAAACATCCATCTTAAAAATGGATGCAAATATGTGGTCCATCTAAAAACAATTGAAACTAATGGTCCAAATTTTTTCTTAATAGAATTATTATTTCTAGTTTCTAAAATTTATTTATTTTTTCATATTCATGATCTCCATGTTAGAGATTACATATCCTCAAAAATTAAGTCCAAAAATCCATCTCAAAAATAGATTTATTAAGGACCCGCATTTCTACATGAGTGGGCGTGGCCCGCATGCTAACCCCGTCCTTGATGATTATCATTTTCTTTAAGGGGTTTGATAACCTATTTGGTAACCTCTCCCAAACTAGACATAAACCAATGAGCAGCCTCAAGTGTATAATTACAAAATCATGATTGAAATCACCTCTAATGACAAACAAACAAAGGCAATAATCCCTTGGTGGCAGTAACATCACATTTAAGCTGAATTCTTTAATCTGTCAATTGAAGTGAAATGTAGAAAAATGATTTAGGAGACCACAACTTCAAAGCCAATGAACTGATCCATATCTAGTCCTATATTTGGAGTGTGCTTCTCCATCTAAAGAAAATAGCCTTCTTTCCATGCAAAACATGAATATACTATACATCTATTCACATATTTCTATACGAGGAGAACATCTATGTGCATAACGTCGATAGAAAATGCGTAATTGCACTTTCGGGAAATTGAAACCAAAATTTTTCCAGTGCTGATCTATTGCTACTTCATTCCATATGATCAAGCATCACCGGTTTTCCAGCCTAAAAGTCTCAACTCCCAAATAAACAAATGAAAAAGTGGTAGTCATCCTTTAATTTTAGATGCAGTTTGACTATGAGTTGTGTCAGCTTCCAATGAGTCATTGCTATTTATACACTTCATTTAATTAGTATAAATTCACATCAGAACATGTTACCGGGTTTTCACTAAAGGGGGTAGAAGTTGAATCTAGTTCTTCCGAATCAGAATGCTTGGAAAGAAAGAAGAGCAATAAATACCTGTATCTCAGCCAGTAAACAGCCATGCAATGCCATCACTGTGAATGCACAATGCCTTAGAGCACCACTGACCATCACATAACTCTTCCATGGATACTTCAGCATCTTATAAGGTCCATGGGGTGGCTCCCAGACAGCAAATCCCATCTGTACAAAAGAGGAAGTTCATTTTTAAGATATGATCAGTGATAACAGGAGGTGCCTGAAAAGAAGTGGCATACCAGAGTATCCTCTTGACTTGTGGATTCCACAGCTGACCTATAGCCACTATAAACAGGGTCATCAGAGGCTTGGTATGTAAGAATTTTTGAAGAAATCCTATCATATTCAACACACTTAAGGTACCCTTCAACACAACCTGAAAATCAATTGTAAAATCAATAAATTAAGGTATATTAGTGGATGGAAAAGGTCAAAGAAAGAGTCCGTAAGAGAAATCCAATCAACTATATAAAAACAAACACAAAAAGGAAAGAAGACCAATTCAGGAACGTTTAACTACGATAAACGAAGTAAAGGAGACTAAACCTTCTAAAGACTTAGCAACACCCGTGAAATTTTTTACTACAAGGTTATGAAGGTCCTCGCCGGCCCAAATGGGATATATACAGATATTGACAGCCAAAGTCACACTGGCACCAATTACTATGAGTACAAAGCGCGTGATTGCTGTTTGAATGAATGTCCCTGTTCGATAACCAGACACCATAATGAAACAGAAGGTAATCAAGAATACACGGAACCCATATTCATAAGGCTTCATCTTTGGAAAGAGTTTTATAAAGGATGCTGCAAAACCTGAAACAAACAAGCAACGCCATTATAAAAAAAAAAAATGCTATAATATATATATATATATATTTATATATATATATGAAGTGGACTATGTAATAAATTTACATTCTGAGCTCCTATTTGAAAGCCAACCTGCAACAAATATGCTTATAATAAGGATCCCCTCCTCCCACTTTCCAGCAAGTGTGGATAGTTCTGCAAAGCCAAGGGCCAACCCTCCCGCCGTTACCGTTCCCAAGCCACGATTAAACCCCTTGCTAAGGGTTGCTCCTGAGAATGAACACCACTTGAAAATTCATATCATTTATGAAAATGTTAACCAGTTACCAGGGAAATCGGCCAATATATAGAGTATTACACAAGGATAAAATTGCTTGGATACTAAAATTGTGCATATAACATTCCCTCTGTAGAAATTCCATTGGTTTTGCCATTGGAACTGCAACACAATCTCCCAAAGACAGCGGTGACGCTTTAGGAAGGTAAGGGAAGGATCAAGAGTACCTCATAACATTCAACCAGACATAGATTGCTAGAAACCCTAATTCATTACCCAACAGAACATGGGACCAGTTAAAAAGACTCCATTTAAGAAAGTTTTTTCTTTTAATGGCAAGTAACAAGATTTCCAGTAGTGGAAGGGGCTGCAAAGAAAACACACATAAACACTAATTTGGGTCTGAAAACAATCAGCATAGAACACAAAAGCATCCCAAATTAAGAACAAAAATATTGACATAGCAATCCCAGCATGAGAAGTTTAAACTTTAAGGTTATTCAACATACCTATGCTAAACTCGAATACAACTACAACAGTGAAGATTGCCCAAATCGAATAGACAGATATATCCATGAATGGTTCCTTCAAGAATATAAGCAGAGAAACGATGGAAAGTGCCATGCCCACTTTTGCAGCAAATATTAGTTTTCGTGGATCCGACTTGCCAAATTGCCAACCATAGATAGCATTCTCACCAATACCATTCCAAATCTTCCTTAACCTGTCACCAATTCGAGGGAAACACCCACACCTTTTCCAGTCCCACCCCTCTGAATCAGAATCATACCCCTCCTTCTGAGAAAGGAGCCTCTGTGTGCTCCTCTCCATGAAGTTGTATCTAATTGATCCCATTTTAGGCATCATCTTGTCGTCTACTTATATAACAAAAACTACAAGATTAATTGATGGAACTCCTCCTCAGATTATACAAATTCCAGTAGTATCCTGTTAAGGGAAATGAGAAGGTAGAAGTGTAAATGTACAGAGAACGAAATAATGAAGAATGAATTAAAAAATATTTTAAACGATAAGCAACTTATTTGAATGACCATTTTACAGAGATGGGCTTTTTTGAAAAAAAGACATTGATTTTGCATAAATACAATTTCAATCCCTAACTTATCAATCAGACGAATAACCCAATATCAATCTCTGAAAGTCTTAATGTTCACTTGATGCTGTTTTTTCATAAAGAAAGACAGTTCATAAGATAAATCTTAAATCACTGCACAATAAATATCAATACACATGAAAAAAATGGGTTTTCTGAAAGGAAAACAAGTGAAACGGCTATCTCCATATGAATGCAAAAACTTAGAAGAAATAAAAAGAACAAAAAAAAAAGAGCCAGAATACCAAAAATTAAAGACCATTTGGAGAGGAAAAATATCTTAGAAATGCACAAAAATTAGAACACAAATTGCAAGAAGAAACAAATCAACTCAAAATAAAAAACCAGAAAAAACAAATCAACAAATTCTCATTTTTGTAGTTGCATAGTGATAAAAAATTACAAGAATTCCAGAATACAAACAAAACAAAATTCAAATTATTAAAATTCTTCAACAGTGAATTGCCAATATATTCCAGAACTTCCAATTATTCACACCACCAAACATTAAAAAAAGAACAAAGCAAAAATCAACAAAAGATAAACACATTACCACGATACATAAAAATCCAACAAATTCAAATTTTTAGGCAGAAAATTCAAATTTCCCATCAACAAATAAAAAAGAAATTGCATCTCAAAACAATTCACAAAAACCACAGTAAGAAAAAAGTACCAATACGGAAATAACCCTAATCATCAGATCCAGACAAAACAAACAGAAGACAGCAAAGGAAATACCACAATACTTCCAAATACACAATGGAGAAGCGATTAATGAGAGTACCTTCAACAGAAACCCAAAGTTTGAGCCTGCAATACTTTGGCAAGGTTTAATTCGTCTCAAAACTAGAGAGAAACAGTTCGTCTCAAAACTAGAGAGAGAAATAAGAGAGAAAGATTCTCTGAGAGAAATCCGTGTTTATAACGTGATTCCATCATGTGACCATCTTTCGTCGCGTTCCACAGGGCCTCGGTTGATTCGACCATTAACATGCCGGGCTGCCCTGTAAAACGTTAGAGAGAGAGCATTTTTTATGACCTAAAATACCCTTGTTTTTTAGTAAAATGCCAAAGAGATATTCAAATTGCTTTCGTGAGAAGACACGTGCTTTTCGCAGCGAGACGTCCCCTTTTACCGTCCGTTTAGACGCGCTCTTATCAATATTCGAAAAGTGTATATGCTCCCGCGGGTGCTCATTATTATATTTTCTTTTTGCTATTATCTCACCTCCGATATGGGTCTAAATATTAGACCTAGCGGGTTCGGTCTCTTCCGGGTCCCACATTGTATATTTCTTATACAAATTTATAAAATATATTTAAATATATAAATATTTTGATTTTGGGTAGGGTCAGATTTAAAAAAAGTCAGCACTATTTTAAAAAACGATTTAATCTTTGATTTTTTCGATAGATAGGAAAAAATACACTATCTTTGTAGGAAGAAGTTTAAAATACCACTTTTTCAAAATTTGAAAAAAAATTTAAATAAACTTTTCTATTCATATACTCTCTAATTTTTTTTGAAAAGTTCAATATCTTTTTTTTGTTTTATGAAATTTCTATTTCTGTTTTTATTTTTCTTCTCCTGAAACTTTCTTTTGTCCTATGTTGTGGATATGGTGCGTATTTTTCGGGTGGTTGTGGGTAGACTATAGTTAGCAACAATGAGGTTAGAAAAAAGAAAATTGAATTCACCTACCCATTACTTATCTTGACGAATAGAATAGATAATCATCTTATGATTTAGAAATATATCACATTGAATATTTGAAATTTATATATGTATATATATAGGGAGGTCATTTTTGTACTGAGTGCTATATATAGAGTGTGCTATATATAGAGTGAAAGCATTACTGCCCACTACTATTAATTTTATCTATACTAAGTGATATATATATATATATATATCTATATATATATATATATATAGAGTTTCAAAATTTTAAATATTTTAAATATATCCGATTTTTTAAGCCTAGTCCGATATATTCGCGATCTCTTTGCATGAAGTATTTTTATCGATCCATATTTTTTACCTGATTTTTTTATCTGAATTTTTAAAATACAAACGATTAGTTTCCGATTTCATGGTGAGCCGATTTATTGACAATCCCGTACTTGCTAACTAACTATCAGTACAGGTCCCATGACTTAGGGTCCAAGTCCAGCCCAGACCTGCCTCGAACCATTACCACTAGGTTAGGGTTGTATAAGGAGTCAACTTTGAAGTATAAGGAAGGCGCACCTCTAAATTTCACTACAATATGTAATTTTGGTATCTACAAGTTTACGGGGGGTTAACAATTTATTTTTATTATTAACCATAAAATTTAAAATTTAAAAAATAGCAACGATCCAGCAAATATATAAATATTTGAAAATCTAGAAACAAATACTTCCGATAACTTGTTATAAGATCCACTATTTTTAGAATTGTGAAATAAGTTTTATTTTGTATCCATAGAGGTCGAGACGATCAATTTGAGGGTTATCGAAATATTCTTTTTTAATAGATTTTTGAAGTACACTATACTCAACCTTATATAAATTTTTTCCTTAAAAAAAAACCATTTATTATTTTCCATTTATTTTTTATCCAGCAGGACAAAACTGTATCTTTGGTCCCGTGGGAATCATAGTTAGGTAACTTTCACACGATTTCATACCAGATCAATCTTGGAATTCTGTGCTCTTGTAGGAATGTACTATTCATCTACTCCCTCAGCTAAGACTCAATTTAAAAATACTTTTCAGGACCCCAAATTGGGAAATATAATCTCTTCAACTCATAAATCAACCTAAATAAAAATATTTTTTAAATCTCACTCTTTATGTGTTTGAAAAAATAATGGCTGAAGATTGAATAGACCGTCCAGTTCTTAGTGGGTGAGATCTAAATGTTAGAGAACTAAAAATCCAATTTTTTTTTACAAATCAAGGATTTCAAAAAAATAATTATCTACTTATCCTTTTTTTTTAAAAAAATAATTATCTACTTATTATTACGTGGTTCCCAAAATTTGAGATAAAACAAATTCTCCCAAGTCTTTTGCTGGAGGGCATGAGACCACAATATAGTGTTCATTATTTAATATTGTATCCATTTATTTTAATTTAATTTCAAAATACCTATCAAGATATACAGGATTGTGACTGGGAATAGTTGAAAAAAAGAGTAAAGCATTAAATGGTTGATAAATTAAATATATTTTGATAATCATTATTTTAACTAAAAAAAAATGTACAAAGGAAATGCAGAGGACTGAGATCTGGGGATGGGTTCCCTATCGGGGGTATAAATACAGAGGACTACCAGTTGTCCGAACTATATAGAAACTAACAGTGGGGTCCAAATTATATAAAAATTTGGACATTACAGTACACAATTGTCCTCATCAGATCTCTTCGAAATATACCCTCTCCGTGTAAGGTTGAGGAATCACATCTCTTATAAGAAACTTCTGATCATTTCTTTGATGAGGTATATATATATATATATATGTCATGGATGTCAACTTAATTTTTATATATTGTTTATCTCAATACTTAAAAAAATAGATTGGCGAGTCGAATTGGTCACACTCATACTCGTGATAGATCGGTAGATCGAATCAAAAGAATTGGCAGTAATTGGTCCCAAATATTTTTAAAATAATTCTAAAAAAAATTGTTCATTCTTTTTTTTTTCCGCTTGACTAGGTGAAAAATAGGTCGGAATCGGTCGGACACGGTGAAGAATCATCAAAATTGGCAATTCCGCGAAAAAATAGGCGAGTCTACTATTCTGAATTGACCGAATCCCAGTTTTTTCTGGATCCAAGACGGTCATAGCAATTCCTGATCCGGATCAGGTCACTTATTTTTAAATCAGTGGTTTATCTCATTATTGCTTGGATTGATGGCTCTAAACGTCTTTCGCTATGTGGTTCTTTTTGTGAAATCGCCCGTATTACAGTAGGATGATAGGCTTTCCATAATTTATCAAGAAACTTTTCCACACAATCAAATATGACCTTAAAGCTCAAAATCTCCCTACTGTCTCTTATCAAAATGGACGGTCCACATTCAATCTTGAACTATTCCTCACTGCATGTCATCAAAATGGACGGTCCATATTCAATCTCGATCTATTGCCCAGGGTGGTTTTCAATCTCCAAATCCACATTTTAAGTACATCGTGTTGTAAGCATGATTTCCACATTGTTTGGTCCATCCACTCCCACAACTGGATGCGGCTGGCAGGGCCGAATGAACACTTTGGACCCGTGAGACCAAGTAAATTTATAATTCGAAACTAGCTAGGCCACACGTCTTTTTACTACTAAGTAAAGAGTATTAAAAATGGGTGTGGTTTCTATAAGGTTGCAACCTTAAGTAAAGAGTATTAAAAATGGGTGTGGTTTCTATAAGGTTGCAACCTTAAACAATCCAATTAAGACGCACCTCCAAATTTTATTATAATATATTATTTTGGTGAAAAAATTCTTAAGATTATCTCAAAATCTATTTTCAAATTTAAACTCCAAAAATGGTTAAAATCAAGCATCTATAAACATATGAAAATCTTGAAAATAGACAGTCTAAATAATGTATTGTAAGATGCACTATTTATGGGACTCAAAATCCTTTTTTTTTTTTTTTCATATTCATACATTTCAATATCGAGATGATCAAGTAGAGGTTTTTCAACAACATTTTCTGATAGATTTTTAGGTGCATTTGTAATTCTACATTTATGTATTTTAAGGTTGCAACCTTATATAAACTTTTTCCATTAAAAATAGGGATGTGGTTTGTTGAAGGCCGAGGCTCTAAATAATCAAAATGAGGCGCACCTCTAAATAGTACTGAAATAGGTTGTTTTAATATTAGAAATATTTATAATTGACCGAAAATTTATTTTCATCTTTAATAGTAAATTTTAAAAGTTAAAAAATAGTGTAGATCGAGCTGACTTATGAACACTTGAAAATCATGAAAATTGACGGTCTAGATAATACATTACAAGATGCACTATTTTCAATACTTGAAAACTTTTTTTCTCATGTCTATACATCTTGAGGTTGAGATGATCGAAATGAGGCTTTTTTAGAATTGAAACAACCTTTTTTAATGAATTTTTGAGGTACACATTAATTTGATTGTTTAGAGCCTCACCCTTCTATAAACTTTTTCCTAAAAATAGAAGGGATTTCTATTTTGAAGGAGAGGAACATTAGTTGCATCAGGGTGACCAGTTGTCCCATATAGTTTCATCATCATCATCAGAATATTTTTCTAACTATTTGGGGTCGGCTACACGAACCTTAGTTCGTCATTCTGCTCTATTAAGGATTGTACTCTTAGTGAAGCTATAAGTTCTCATATATTTTCTCATTACTACTCTAACCATGTACCTTTGGTCCTACTTCTTGTCATTTTTTTTACTTTTTACTTGAACTAACTCGTACCTCTTAACGGATGTTATACGAAAAAATCTCATATAGTTTATTGCAGTAGTGAATATTTCACAAGGGCCAAGTTGCCAACAAGAACATGTTCTTAAGTTTCTAGAGAGACAGAATAGAGAGATAATAGAGGAGAGAGGGAAGATAATTCACTAGCTAAAGGTGGGATACACCAATCATCATTGATAGTGACTACCGGACTTGGTTTATTTTTTCCATTCTTTTTAAATTGTACCTATTTTTTGTACCATTTTCATTTGGATGAGGTTTCTATAAGGCCTAGGTTTTATGAAAATAAAATATAGCCTTATATCAAATCCTAGTCTGGAAAGCACTTTTGGCAATGAAGATCTATATGATGGCTCTAAACTCAATTCCCATCACTAAAAATGAAACTTGAAATCCTAGATAATTTGTTACAATATACGTTATTTTTAGAGTTTGAAATCCTATTTTTTTTCTACGACCATAATGTTCAAGCCAAGATGATCGATGTAAAGGTTTTTCAATGCTTGAATTGCAATTATTG